CGAGTCAGGCTCATCGATGGCTTCAACCAACGGCAAACAACATCAGTAATACTTGTTTTTAATTCAAACGACTAGATCCGTTTAATAGCGATAATTTTAGCACTGCTAGCACCTCTGATTCTATGACTGTGATTTTCTTCATTAGTTATGAAAGTACTTTTTTGAACTAAGGAATCCTATTTTTTGCAAAGCTTGAAATGAGCAACCTACAAACAAATAACGTTTTAGAAGTTCCGAGAATTGAAAAACTGAAAATACTGTATAGCTTCAAGTAAAAATCTAGATCTTTAATTAATATTGACAGAGGACTTAAAAAAAATAACAAAAAAATAACTGAAGCTGCCAGCATTCATTACTTTCTAGTTTGCTTTGAAAACTAGCTCCTCTGTTTACGATATATCTTAGGTCGGCTCTAAGGAAAAGCTGTCCGGATTTGAGAGCCTCCGACACCGCTTCCGGTTTTCTACCCAAAAATATGGAAACACATCGTGCACACAATCGAAATCGAAGAGCGCGTGAAAAGAAACAAGCCGCTGCCTGGAAAAAGAAACCTCTCTCGGTAGTTTTTCAAGCTTTACCGTTTCGTTTACAGTTACGAACTTTTATGAAACAACAGCGGAGAAATACCGTAAACCCCGATAATTAAAAAAAACTGAAACTACTGTTTGAGTCAGTGAAAAGAACAGGCTAAGTAAGCTTACAGAGAAGATGGTCTGACGATCAAGTGCTCGCATAATCTACACAAACATGCAAAGTTAATATTACTCGTAACTGAAACTTTTATACTTTTGCCACCTCTTGTGTAAGCATTATCGTATCATTTGCTTAATCCACGATTGAATAATTCAAACCACAACTGAAAGAGCTATTGTTAGTTAACAAAGTATCATTGGTTGTATTTATTATAATAATATTTATGGATCGGGTTAATATAATGATTATGGTTACCGTAGTGATAAATGCAGTCGCACATAATTTGAATCGGCATCATTTCGAAAGTAGATTTGTATGTACACATGTATGTTTTTATGCAGTTGTCACGAAGGCTGCAGCAGTTGTCACGAAGGCTACAGGATCCAGAAATATAAAGTCAATTTTGGCCTTAAGGCTTAGCTCCGTGTCAAACAGTAGTAGTATGCAGTGTCATATCACTGTTTCTACCTTGTAACTGGGTTGTATCTTATCGTGCAATAAATAACTAAAAAAAAACTGCCATTAAAAAGTAAAAAAAAATTCTGTATATTTTACCGCACTCACTTATTGTGAGTCAGCAATGTACCGCAAAAAATATAGAAACGTCAGTCTCTGTTCCCGTCTTTATATCGACTGCATATTACATTGATATTAAAAGTAGAGCTTCAATTTTTTTTTTTCCAAGGAGATAATAGTGTAATTATTGTGGTATGCAAACAGCGCATGAAATTTATTTTTTGAAGTTATTATTATAAGCCCTAATCAGTGATTAAGTTGTGATAACCCTGGCTAATTACTGCCTATCAACTCACTAGCTGGAGAACCTTGATCCTAACCCTTTGCGCATTGAATTTGCTTTTGCTGAATAAGTTCATATTTCACAGGATTGGAGCTTAGACGATGTTCTTCTCTGGTTGCAACATTGCAAACTGGACGACGTAGCTTCAGTGATGATCGGTTACGATATTACCGGGGCTGACGTGGAACAGTGGAACCTGGAAACGCTCGGTAAACAGTTTGTCCCGTATTAGACACAAATAATTGAATATCGACCGAATCTTTCTGTCCTTTGCAACTTCGCAGTGAACTGCTTCCTCCTGCTCATGCTTCCTAGTCCGATAAGGCTGTTGCCTTATTACTACTGTCTTATTCTCTTTAAGGTAATAATAGGAAGATAGATGTTTTTTTTCCGTTAGCTACATAATATCAATGCGATTTCTTTTATTTTCTACGTCCTGCATAGCTGCTTGAGACAATCCAGAGTCTCCCAGGAAATTTCTGGTGGTTAGGACGACAATTCTCGATCTTTCTACCTCTCTCCTGCTACTTCACTGAACATAACTTTCAAAGTTATTAGTAGTTCCGTGAAGTAGTTGTCTTATGTCCGTTCCTTTGCCTATGCGCACCCAGTTTGTCTACCTGCAGCCCTTCTAATATTAACTATTCACTTTTCTGGTGTTCCTTTTCTAGGCCCGAACTGGACGATCTACTAAAACATTTAATAATAGTACTATAGGTCTAATCCGCGGGAATAATATGGGATGGGTCTAATCGCGGGGATATTCAGTAGTATGACAGCTTCCAGTAGTCTACTTGTGGACTCATGCTTTCAGTTAACGATAACCGTCGATTCTTGCTTATATTACTGAAACTTACAGCCAGTGAGTACCAGCAGCATAAGCTGAGTAAATTTATTGATTCTCGATAAGCATTTTGTTTAGTGGGTTTGGTAAATTAAACAACCACATGAGAGCCAAAGTTTCTTTTGGCTACTGCGTTCCCGAAACTTTCTAGAAGTAAATCGCTCGTCTCATTATCGTCTTATTGCAGAGCAGCTTGGTGTGACAGATGCGAAAACACGGGCGCAAGTACTACATGAGTTGCGGTCATTAAAGGAGCATCAAGCAAATCCATCAGATGAAACTGGTGACCGCAGTGGTACCAAGATTGCCAAGGTTTTTATCTTTGTAATTTCTGCTCTTTGTGTTGTTTTTGCAACACTTATGTGCATTGAGCGAACGTGATCATGGACCAAATTTATTGTTGAAAAACGCACCAGTGAGCGAGTACTAAGTGAATTAGCTCAAGATTTTCACTTCTGTAAACACAGTTCCCTCTTTCGCTCGGTTTTTGCAATTCGCTTTGTTTTGCCATCAGAAAGTGAACCTTTATCCGTATCCACTCATGTAAGAGGCAGAGGCACTCGGCAGTAGCTCGTTGCGGTAGTAAATGCCAAAAGCAAATACCCGTTGGCCAGCCTTCCGACGGTTCTGTTTTTCGAGGGTTGCTTACAAGCAAGCTAACTATCGGTATGACTTCCTAGCGTATGCTAGTATTAATTTACCATCGAAACGAATAAACGAACTGGGAGATTGATTATCCACTTGGCCAGCTTGTGAAACCTGAAACACATGAGTGCGTTTTTTGATGCGAGATTTTGCGGGAAAAAGCCGCAGGCAAAAGGTTGACGGCCAGCGCAATTCCACTCTTTTCTGCTGCTGTGCTTTTTTTTTTTAAACAGATGCCCGCTGGCAAGCTTCATCGTTGCGGAATTTGATCTTTTATAAATGATTGTCAGTTCTGTTAATTTTCGGACACTAAACGCTGTGTTGTGAAAAAAAAAACATGTTTAACCGAATTTAGGAAGTTCCAAAGAGCCTAAAAATACTTTGATTAATATTGTAATGAAGTCACGAAAAAAATTTGTTAACTGGGCATAAGTGATTTCATGTATGATTGTGTCCTGCCCTCATTAACTAATGGATTTTAACATTGTTTGGTCCTTTTCTAAAAATATCTCCTAATTCGCCACATTTACAATTCTAAAAAAAAGAAAATACCTCCAGAGTCGCCACTTTAAAAAAAAAGAAAGGTAATTCTAAGTCGCCGTATTCTGAAAGTCGCCATATATAATGCATGATTTCTGGTACTATATCCATGAAGTATCCACCGGGTGGTGGCGGAATTTCTGATCATTACATTAATATATATGCATAAATACAGCCTTGTGTTTAAATCAATCTTTCTTTACAGAAAGGTAAGCCGCGAGTGCCTTTATTCAGACTAGTACGTTCTACCAGTTATGACAAAGTGGTTGCGGTGGAGACACCGCTAACTACCCGAGATATCACGGTGGCTGAAGGTCGATTCGGCTGCTTGCAAGTTACAAAGGTCAATGGCGCTAATATACCATTGAAGGAGCAGGACTGGTACGTTTCAGCAACACGTTTCCTCTTCTCATGCTGCTTTTTTCATCAGAAGCACTACACTGAAAGTGAGTGATGAAGTGATTCAATCTTCTTTACAACGCTTGGATTAAGCATTTCATGTCCCTTTGCCAGCAAAAATTTTCTATAGACAATTTTATCGCCTGTCCACTTCCTAACCTTTTTCGGGTGTTAAGGAGCTGATGTTCCACTTTCAGCTTGTCGAGTCTCGCAGATGTAACTGAAAAATTGCTGTTTTTCAAGTCCTA